TTTCCCTCAGATGCTATTATTTATAGTAGTGAGTAGTCAGAAAAAGCCTAAATGACCACCTAAACTATGACCAAGCTAAACTATGATGAATCCACTCGGGAAAACTATGAGATATTAAAATTTGTAGTTATAAAAAATGATGATTTAAAACTGTGCAGCAATAAGGAAAAATATGTTATAACATATAATATGTTATAATGTTAATTGAAAAAAATTGTTACAGGATTGAGTGAATGATCTAACTACATAATCCAAATATAATGCCAAAGAAAAAAGCCCTGCAAAGAAATAGACAAAGATGCCAACAGTAGTTATGTTCTATAGAAGAGTGGGGGGTTTAGGTGATTTCTTATGGTAATTTAAAAAAATAGACACACTAAATAGTACAAATACTCAAATTATTGGCTAAGAATTTTGAAATAATGAAGGAAAAACGTTAATTTCAGTTTTAAGCAAAGGAGTGATGCGGTGATACTATTCTAGTGGCTGTGTGCAGGATGAATTTGAAGAGTGATATTAAGAATGGAGAGACAGGGCTACCTTCTGAAAATATTTAGGAGGCCAAATCAGCAGGGCTTGGTTCAGTATGTGAATCAGGGAATGACTCAGTATGTGGGGGGAAGAAGTATATGCCTAGTAGTGAACACTGGCTTAGGAAATTTAAGGACTTGTCCAAGGTCACACACCTAGTAAGTAAGCAATTGATCCTGGGTTTAAACCCTGGTCTGTCTCTGTCCAAAGCCCGTGCTCTTGCTCCTGTAGCTGAGACATCTATTAAAGCTTTGGGAAAACTTTTTTTTTCTTTCTTTCTTTCTTTCTTTTTTTTCTTTTTTTTTTTTTTTTTTACCATCTACTGCAGTGTAGAAACTTGTTTAGTGTGGTGTCTTTTTTTTTTTTTTTTTTGAGGGGTAAGGGGACCAGAAGGAGTTAATTTCTTCCAAGATGATCACAGGGAAAAGACTGTAGATACCACAGCTGCTTCTGTCATGATCAGTTGAATTGACTAGTTTAGAAGCTCATTAGTATTGGATGTGTATGCTAGTTGTCTTGGGGGCTGACTAGTTTTTTGCCAAGTTGTACTGGATTTTTGGTTGCTTGTGGTAGAGGGTCTCTTGAACTTAGATATGCGAACGTGTACCATGTTACATGCAAATGAAAATTTTGGTCATTATGCCAAGTTTGTTAATGATGCTGCAGCTCTGGGAGTGAGAGAGGTCAGATTGGCAGTCTCCAACAAGGGACAGTGTCTAAGCAGCTCCCTGAGCCATACAATGCTCCATCCCCATACCTGCCTTGTATAGACTAGTCCAAGAAAAGGTTGTTTTGAACTTAAGTCTATACTTTGGAGTCTGATTCCCAGCCCTTCAGGAAGAACCCAGTTCATACTAACTTGCTCACTGTGTGACCTTGGTCAACTGACTGCCTCTCTGCACTAGGGTTTACTCATCTGTAAAGTGAGTGTGACTTATAGCCCCTCAGAGGATTGTTGTGTAAGGATTTGGTAGCCTTAACTCTTGAAGCGGCTTGTGAGCCACATTAAAGGAGTTGGACTTGGTTTTTGGTGGTAGGAAGAAGCCATTGAAGGGTCTTAAACAGGAGGTAGCACACTTACACTTGGCTCGATAGTGAAGAGGCAGATGCTTAGTAATGTTTGTGGAGTTAACATTGTTACCAGGACGACAAAGGCAGAGTAGCTATGACTATGGCGTCATTCTCAGTGGTCCCCTTTGGGCCAAACATAGGGCACTGTGGGATGATGCTTAGAGCCCTAAGTTATATTTAGATCAGTACCCTGGAGAGAGGTCGACTTTCTTACCTTCTTTTGTCTGACTGTGAGAAATTTTTAAAAAATACGTATATATGCTGTCTGCAGGATCAAGCTTTTGTGGGGCTGTGAGAGGTGGCATTCGGTGTTTTCAAGAAGGATTGTTGTAATGAGGAAAATACTGATTTCACATGAAAGGATTTTAATCAATTGCCTTATACCTGAGGGGCATAGTGCTTGACTGCAGTCCCAAGTTATGCACCATCCACCTCCTTCCGGACGACTGGCTTCCTGCCTGGGTGCCTCTGTCTAGGAAGACCTGTAGCAGGTGTCCACCCCAGGGAATATTCCTGTCCACAGTTACATAGCACATCTCAGGTAACAGTATACTTGTATATGCTGTCTCTTTTGACCCTCACAACAACCTGCACTGCAAGTGGGCAGGGCAGGGATTTTCATCCCCATTTCACAGATGGGAAACCTTGAACCTCAGAGAAGTGAAGTGCCTTCCCAAGTACGTACAGTTAATAGAGGTGGGATTCAGGACCCAGGGCTCCACAGGCAAGCAGGAATCCAAAGCTGATAATCCCCTTATTAGTGTTTTAACTTAGGACGAGGCCTGTTATGGGAGAGTTTAGGCCTCCCGCTCTGTGTTCCTCGGAGAGTCCGTCACTTCATCTAATAGAGAAAATGGGAATGTGTACTCTACCATGGCACAGCCTTCTGCAGCCTTATTCAGAATAGAGTAGCCACAGAACGTGGGGGTTCCATCAGAGAGACAGAATAGTGAGCAAGCAGAAGTTTCTTGGAATATTAGCCCTTGAGGCCCCAAGCTCAGAAGGGGAGCCCAACCTGCCTTCTGGGTCCTCAAGGTACAAAGAGGCCTTTCTGGGAGCCTTCACTTAAGGGCATCTTCCTGACCCCTTTGTCAAGTTGTATTCTTTGGGGGCCGCTTAACTCGAGATACTCACTTATGTATTCATTCAACACTTAATGAGTACCTACTCCTGTGATTCCTTTTATGTTCAGGGCACATTTCCAAATACTAGAATTTTGGTGACACACTTGAAGAGACTTCATTGTACGCACAGTATTCTTTCCTTGATCACAATTCAGCTCTAGGGTAATGTTGCATAAACTCACCACCTTCCCTTTCATACTCACAAGGTAAGGTTCTTGCAGGTTCAAACAATAACAATAATAATAGCAGCAGTAGCTAATATTTGCATACTTTCTAATGTGTCAGACATTGTTCTAAATATTTAAATGAATTAAGTTATTTTATCCTCCAGCAACCCTAGAGATATGTATTGCTATTGCCGTTTTACAGGTGAGATAACTGAAGCATAAAGAACTTAAGACACTTCCCGAAGGTTATGTCATATAGCTAGTTCAGTGGCAGAGCGGAAGGCATTTTAGTTTCAGTGGTTACTCTCTTGACCATATTACATGGCCTCTCACATGGAAATAAACATTCAGGCTTTGGCGCCTGCTTGATGGAAGGCCACTAATCACAACAGCAGGTTGTACTCCTCTCTACACTGTGTCATATGACCCACTCAGCTCTGGTTGTGCTGAAAGATAGCACCATGTAAGCTCAGTTAGAACAAAAAGAAGTTTTGTACACTGATGAAAATTTGGCCATGCACCTGGAAGATTCAAGATACACTGTTGTGTCTTGGCACACTGATTAAGAGCTGCTCGTCTCCCCCAGCCAATCATACTCTTGGGTGTATGGTGGCATTCAGAAATGAATGTGATGTCCATCTTGCTCTCAAGAAACTCCCTACAGGGAGAGAGAAGACTGCTGTGTAAATAGCCATGATACAAGACTGAAAATCAGAAATATCAAAAAGAAAATTTACAGCATGCCTCCTCTTCCTGGCTGGTTTCCTCATGTCTTCTGGTGTGGGGAGAGAGAGTCCAAGAGTATTACTCTCTTCAGGAGTATACCTTCCTCTCAGACCCTCAGGCCTCAGGAAGGTTGTTCAGTCCCCTTTAAGCCTAGATCATCTTCCCTTGCAGGATATAGCATGACCTAGAGCATGTTACCAAGATAAATCACCTCCTAAAGTGTTTGGTGGAAAATCCTTGAACTCATCCTTGGCCTGCTTACCCTTCTCTCTCTTGAGAAAAGCAAAAAGGAAAAAGATTAGGATAGTTTTTGCAAATTAGTCTAACGCCAAAGTCTAAAAGAAATCAGGCTAAAGGACTTGAAAGAAATTAAATAAACTCTATTCCTTGTTTGCTTTCCTTTTTATAGAGGTTGGCAGGGATGGGTGAGAGTGACTTAGAACTGTTCTACTCTAAGTGTAGTCCACTGAATCAATGACATTTCGCAAACTGTTGCTAGTTTGTGTTAAGCATAGAAATTGAGAGTAAGTGCTTAGAAACCTTTAGAGTAATTGGACGTTTTTATTATATTTTGCAAAGTATTTATCCTTAATGCCTTGAAAGTAAAACCAACAAAAAGCTAGTCCTTCACCACAAATAGTTTTGAGAAGTACTGGCTTATTTAATGTGACAGAGTGAGAAAAAGCTGCAGTCTTCTTGTCTGTAAAATGAGGTTAATAATACCTGCCTCGAATTGTTTTGGGAATTACTTGATGAGAAATAATATTTTGGGATGCTTAATATATGCCTGCATTGTGCGTTGTACTTGTATTATCTTATTTAATCCTCACCACAATTCTGAAATAAATTTTATCATTTCCATTTTTCTAAGGCTTGGATAGATTAGGGGATTTGCCAGAAGTCAAACCTGTAGTAAGTGTGCAGGGGGGATTTGAATGGGAGCTGGCACACTTAACTATGTCATGTTCTGCATAAAGAGCCTGGCACACGGGACGGCTCCCTGTCATTCCACTTTCTCTACTTCGCTAGAGGTCTGGAGACCTGCTTTCTCAATCCGTCACTGACCCTAACTTATTTTTGTGACCTTGGGCAAGTCACTTCTTTTTAGACCTTAATTATCCAGTCTACCCTGAGTGGCACTATGTTTTATTTGTCTTTGGTTCCCCAGCATTTAGCTGGACAGGGCTTGGCATTATAATGGTTATTGAGTACTGAGGCAATTGATTACACTAGATGATGTCTACTTTCTTTTTTTTTTTTCCTGCTTTCTCTCCCCAAATCTCCCCAGTACACAGTTGTATATTTTAGTTGTGGGTTCTTCTAGTTGTGGCATGTGGGACGCCCCCTCAGCGTGGCCTGATGAGCGGTGCCATGTCCTTGCCCAGGATCCGAACCAGTGAAACCCTGGGCCACCGCAGCAGAGCATGTGAACTTAACCACTCGGCCACGGGGCCAATCCCAGTCTCTACTTTCTCTGAACATCATAGGTTGTTTATACTCTTCCCTTCCTCCTGAGCATCATATTCCCCACTTACGCCACCTGGTAGCATAACCTTATGTTCCTCATATCTGTTTGTGTTAGGCAGTCTTGATCCTGGGTAGTTTGAGGCAGCCCACAGGGTGCCCATGTTTTTACTCAGTTGGGAAATGTGTCTAGGATAGACCCGCCAGGGATAACACAAATAAGGAATGGAAGGGGCTGGCTTACGGAGTCAGAAACATGCTGTTACTCCATGCTCTTACCCAGTGGGGCCTGGGCCTTGGGCAGCTCTGCTGGCAGCCCTGCCGGGCCTGAGTAATGGCTGCAGCCTGGAGCAGGGTTTTCCATGAGCTCCACTGGGGTCTCTAGTAATTGGAACATGGCACCTTCCAACTTGTAATGGATGGCAGAGCGAGAGGGGCATTTGTCACTGCCTGACTTCCCTGTGGAAAAGAGGCTCATAAGTCACAGCTGACAAACCCTTTGATGACTTTTAAACTTCATTTACAGAAAAGAATAGCTATAATCAACCGACAGCAAGCAGTGACTAATCTTGCTACATTATCACTGTGAGGAGCCGGCCCCTTAAGGTGTGGGAAGGGGGAGGAGGCTTCCCTTAGGCTCACAGGATGTGCCTATTGGCTCTCAGACTTGAGAGTATGCCCTCAGCAAGGCGCCAGGAGTTTATGCCCAAAGGATCAGAAAGTGTTAGAAGCTGCGCTCCTGGCAGGTACAGGGCACTCTTATCACGAAGTCATTCTGGGCCAAAGTTAAGAGCACCAGCTCTGGTCTCATCCAGACTGGTCCCAGCTCTGCCATTTCCTGGCTTGTGTAGGACTGAGTTCCAACCCTTAGTCTCCTATCTGTGAAATGGACACAATACATACCATCACCCACCTCATAGCAAAAGACTTACAGCAGTTCCTGGTATGTAATAAGTGCTCAGTAGTTGTTGGTAATGATGGTCGCATGATTAACCCTGGAAGGGCCCTTTGTGGTCACGTGCTCCAAAACCCAAGTTCATGTGGCACATCAGCAGCAAAGTCAGGCCCAGTCTTCCCATGGGGGAGGGAGTGTCAGTGGGAGGAATCTAGTGGAGTGGGAAGAGCACAGGCTTTAGAACCAGACAAACTTGAGGTCTTTTTATCCTGATTATGCTGCTTAATGGACAAATTATTTAAGCTTTCTCTGAGCTTCAGTTTCTTCATCTGTAGAGTGAAGATGATACTTCTACTTATTTCAGTAGATTATGATCAGGATTATGAGAGATTATGCATATATAGCTTCCAACACAGTCCCTGGTATAAAGTTGCCGAAAATTAAATTGTGTGTTCCCCTTTTGTCCCCTTCATGACAAGAATTGTATGCAACTATCAAGGAAAGAGGAGACAGCACTGAAGAAATTCTCCTATTTCAGACTTTTATTTCCAGCCTTGCCCTGTATATGCAAGAGGAAGGGCAGAATAGGGGGAGCAAAGAGGAGAAAGCAGCATGTTTTGTACATTGTTCTTGCCAGGTGTAGCCTCTCCCCATGTCCCAATACCCAGTGGGAATTCATCTTATACACACACTCTTTTTCTAGAGCCTTCTGTGATGCTCCTACCCCTTCTCTGATATCCCAGACTGCTTTGCTTGGGCTGCTTCTGGGGCAGCAGACTCCAGCCAGGGCATGTGTGCTTTGTGGCCATGGTGGATGTCCCCTGCTGGACTGGAGTTCCTTGAGATCAGATCCCAGACCAGTTGCTGGATGAATGAATGAACGATTCGTTTGTTAATTACCACCTAGCCCATTGTTAGCTCAGTGGGTATTTGGCTATCTATTGTGATTGAATTGGTAGGTGGGTGTTTGGATGACTAGTTTTGGCAAAAATAAAGAGGTTGACAATCATTTGTAGGTCCCTAACTTTAACTCAGTATTGGGGAGTGTAGGCCCACGGTTATACCTATCCACCCCTTGTTGCCTTCCCCCCATAACTATAAGGGTTGCTTGTCACAGATGCTAAGCCTTAACCTTAGCCACAGTCAGGGGTAGAGTTAAGATACAAGATGTAGGGAAGATGGGATATATATATCCAGACCACATTGTGGGGAGAGATGACTGAGGCCTCAGCTCTGCCTTCTGTTTCTGCTTTGGAGTCTCCCCTCAGGGCCTACTAGATGCTGATACCAGTGTTACAGTATAGGACCAGAGACCTATGCTATAGCTGAGGGGTGAGTCAGTGGCCCAGCAAGGCCTGGAACTCCTCCCAGCCAGCGTTCTTTGCTTTCTCAGTCCTGTGTGGTAGAGATTTAACAGGCATGGGGAAGGGGCAACTTCATGAAGTTTCTAGATTTGGTTCCTATAGATACTAGGATAAGGGAGAGAGCATGCACAAGCCCCCTACCGTGACTCCCTTATTCTTTGCTGGAGTGTGGAGCATTGGGAGATAACATGGGTAAAGAACATTAGGGCTGGGATGTGGAGGATATAGAGCGCCAGGCTAGATTAATCACCTGTTTTCATAGGTCTTAGGGCATTTGACTTTCTTATGTAAATATACTGGTCCCAGCCAGTATACTGGGCACTTTACACATACTATCTCTAATCTTTACCCTATCCTGGGAAGTTGGTATAATTTCTGATTTGTACTTGAGGAATCTGAGGCCCAGTGAGGTTGAGAGACATGTCCAAGGTTATATCTCATAAGTGGTCGGGCTGGGATTGGAACTCAGTCCTATCTGATTCCAGAGCCTGCGCTGTTTCCACTATTTCATGTGCATTTTTCCTTTGTTATTAGGAAACAAACAGGTTCCTGGAGAGAGGGCTGTCTTAAAAAGGAAGTAGAGGACAAGGCCCATGAGCACTATTTCCCACTATCTCCACAGTGCCAGCACAGAGGAGAATACTCAAGAAATGTTTGTTGAATGAGTGAAAGGGATAGGAGTTGTGTAATAATAAAAATAGGCGTAATCCTCATATTTTTTTTATAGTATTTTACAGATGGAGCAGAATGCTTTCATTTCGATTCGCCTATTTGATTTTTTGTGTGTGTGTGAGGAAGATTGGCCCTGAGCTAATATCCGTTGCCCACTCCCTCCTTTTGCTTGAGGAAGATTGTCCCTGAGCTAACATCTGTGCCAGTCCTCCTCCACTTTTGTATGTAGGACGCCGCCACAGCATAGCTTGATGAGTGGTGTGTAGATCCGTGTGTGGGATCTGAACCCACGAATCCTGGGCCACTGAAGCAGAGCGTACAAACTTAACCACTATGCCATCAGGCCAGACCACTTATTTGATTTTTATATCAGATTGGAAAGGTAATCAGGAAAAAGATTTCTGTTTTCAGAATAAGGATGATAAGGCTCAGAAAAATTACATGACTTGTTGCAGGTCACATAACTAAGAACAGCAGAGCCAGGACTAGGCCTCCTGGACATGTAGCCTGTACCCATTACACTCTCACCAATCCCAGGAGCCGTCAGTGTTCAGCGTGCTGGGAACTGGGGTTTCTCATGGGAATGGGAATTGTCAGGAACTGAAGAGCACTCCTTGGGAAATTAGTCCTGTCTGCCCAGTAATGATTGTTTGGGCAATGCTAATGAGCTGGGGCCTGGCGAGTTTAATGAGATTAATAGATGTTCTGTTATCCCTGGCTGCCTGGTAAGCAGGAGCCTCTGGACCAAGGAGGCCTTGGGCACTCATCAGTCTGATTGCTTAGCTTTCTCTAGAAATAGCCTCCCCAAGACTGATAGCTGTTTTCTTTCAAAACTGCCCAGACGTACCCAGGGTTATCTAAGGGCAGAGATCTGGCCGCAGGCTGGTGTGACACCCCCCCCCCCCCCCCCCATCCTTATGCTGGAGAATAAGGCCAGAGGTATCCAGCAGGACTGGCCCAGACAGAGGCTCTAAATAGCACTGTAGGGGGCATCAGGACCAAGAGCAGCAGCTCCTCTTTTGAAATGAGCATTTCAAGAAGAGATCTGGTCCTGGGAGGATTTACAGAGTTGTGGGAGTGAGTGTTCTGATGGCTAAGTACCTCAGAGGTTAGGCTGAAGGCTAGACTTGATCCTGATAGGCAGGATTGGGAGAGCATGAGGGGTGACGTGGCAGAATCAGAGCTTTAGTACAGTTGTTGAGACAGTGGCATGTAGAATGTAGAACAAGAATTCTGGATTCAAGTCCCCTAGCTACCCCCTTCACTAGCTGGATGACCTAAGGTAAGTTACCTATCTTTGCTGATCCTCAGCTTTTTCAACTATGAAATGGGGCTAACAATGTCAGGATCAAGGATATAAACTGGCTTCGTTCATTAAAATCCTGTGCAGATGTGAGGCATTGAAGTAGAAAAGGGGAAGGGGAGGACCAAGGAGAGGGTGTGACTGGTTCAAGGTGACAAATTTTCACCATGAGAATCAGTACCCAAAGCATCTCTATGGATAGGTTTTTGGAGTCAAACAGACCTGGGTTCCAGTTTTGGCCTTGCTCTATTAACTAGTTACTTTGCCTCTGAGCCTCTGCTTCCCTACCTAAAATACCTCCTCATAGGGCTGTTGGGAGCATTAAGTAAGGTGAAGTATGTAAAGTCTCTGACACATCTTTGGCACTCAGTAATCAGAGGCTGTTCTTTTGTGGTGATGGCCCTCTGTGGGGTCTCATTTATCCAGAGTTCAGGGGTGGAGTTACCCTTTAGAGCTTTTCTACCTTTACAAAGCCATGTCATTTTACCACATGTTCAGGCTTGGCTCTTGTCGTCCAAAATGTAGCTTCCTTCTGAAATGTTTCAACTGGGAGAAATTACTTGTTTTTGCCAAATTTCCTCTATTCTTGTAGACTGGTGAAGGGCGCTCATCTCTTTGAGCTGTAAATTGCATTTCAAAGCCTGCGTCCCTGGTGGGTTTTAATTATCTCAAGCGCCCAGCTTTTATGCAGCAGTTGTTTCTCCAGCAGGTAAAGGTGAAGGCACTTACTTGGGAGCCAGTCCTCAGTTTTCTCTAGTATGTCTGGTCTGTTGCCTCCCAGCTCTTCACTTTCCTGGGGGCTTGTTTCTCACTAGCCCAAAAGGAAAAATGGAACATAAGAACCTTAGACTTAAGAGTCAGAGAAACCATGGGGTTCTTGGGCCTGCTACTCGCTGTGGCATCTTGGACAAGTCCATTCTCCTCTCTTCCTCAAAGTGAGGGCATATAAGCTCCATGCTCACTAAGGTCCCTGCCAATCTGATGTTGCAGAAGTCTCTGAGGAGAAGTCTGGTTCTCTCTCCCCTTCTCACTTCCCCTACTCCCACCGCCAAGAGCAATGACTCTACCCACCTCTCCTTAGTTCATTGCTAAGCATGGGGCCTCTGGGGGCTACAGGCACCTTGCTCTCAATTACACAGCTAATCTGTGAGATGGAGCTTGTCCCAGGGGTTAGAATAGCTTATCGAGTCAAGCAGCTTCTGCTGAATAGGATGTCAATATTTTCTAGGGCTCCCACTCTAAGCTAGGGAGAAGCTTGGAAGAGCCAATAAAGAATTACATTGGGAAGATTGAGTTGGGGATGGTTGGTCTGTGGAGGGATGTGTTTGGTTCAGAGACTAGAAGAGTATGCCTGGGGACCTCAGCCCCCAAGGACACCCCCCCCATCCCCCACCCCCGGCCTTAAGGCAGGGCCACAGCTAGCCCTTCTCACCACTTTCTGGGACATTATCCTCACCGCTTCTTCCCTAACATTTATTGAGCACTTACTGTGCCCCAGGCTTGTCAGGCCTGACTGTAACATGTGCAGGGCAGAGCAAGAGAACAGATGGAGACTCACGTAATCATATGTCTAAATATTTGAAGCTTATAAGTGAAGCTAACAAATTGTTAAGTTTATGACAACCTGGAAGACCATGTCTGAATTTAGAGTTCTTGACTTTTGGGGATTCTGTACCTGAACCTAGCAGTTCCGAGTGAGCTATTCTAGGCATGCTTCCTTTTCATTTCCTACCCTCAACTCCATCCCTCACTTTGAGGCGCTTCATGGTAGAAACTCAAGCTTTTCCATACCTACATAGACACCTATCCCCTGGGACTTAGGCAGTACGAACAACAGCAGCACAGCCTACCCTCTGAGGAGTGTGCAGGCCTTGAAAGCAGATTGAGGGCTGTTTAGGCAAGAAGTACAGGGGTTGCATGCCTGGAGCATGCTTCAGGTGGACATTTCTCCTCAGTTCTGGAGATTCCTCACCCAGAGGGGCCACATGCTTACACTTCCTGAGTCTCTTCTCTACAGATCAGAAAACTGACCTTTGTGTGACATGGCTTCTGGCTGCCTCTCCTTTGGCATCATTCAGAATGTGCTCCAGTCTGACCTTAACCCTCATCTAGAATGAACCCGCAAATGGCGGTGTTAGTAGAGTAGAGAAGCTTAACTAGTCAGAATAATTATTAGATTTGTAAAGAGCTTCACACTTTGCCAAGTCCTTTTATGTACATTGTCCCAAACCCCAGGTGATGAGAGAAAAGATTGGGTAGGGCCAAACCTGAAGGACTTTGCTCACCAGCCAGGGTGTGAGTACTGATCCCACCATAGCACCAAGCACAGGTGTTCAGCAAATGCTTCCTGCTCAGTTGTGTTAGAGGCTCCTGGCAGAGGTCTGAGGGAACCTACCAACTGTCCTGTCCCTACCAGGTCAGTGGCAGAGCCAGCAATCACCAACAGATTTCTGGACCATCATCCTCTCTTCTCCTCTTTCTGTCTTGGTCCCCACCCCAGGCCTGGTTGGTTCCCTTCAGCCAAAGCAGGGGGCATCTCCCTGGGCCAAAACTTAATGGCTTTGAGCTGAACCACCCAGGAGAGAGTTATCTGATGTCCGTGGAGGAGCCTCACAAACTTCTTATATACCCATGGATGGACAAAGAATTAAACTTGAATGGCCTCTCATCCAAATAGGAAAGGGATTGTCAGAGAGAACTGTGAGGAATAGGGAACCCAAGGAACCCACATACATTAAGCATTTCCTGCTACATATGGACACTGTGTTACGTGTTTTCATGGGTAATCTCTTGTGTCCCTCACTGCTTAATAAATGTTGATTGGATGCAAAGGCAAACTGAGTAACAAAAAAGAGTCTGTCCCTTCCGGGCCAGGTACAAAGCTGGCACTTGCTCCTTCATCAGTAGCAGTGCCCTCTCAGTCCCCTTCCTTTACTTAGGATGGTGCACACTTCACCCCAGTCATTCCATGGAGCTACTACTGCAAGCCTAGCCGAAGAGGCATGTTCTTCCTCAGCATCGTTCTCAGGTCCAGCCTATGGTTCCCTTGCAAACAGTGCCATCTGCTGGTCAGAACATGCCATATTCCAGGCTGGGAGGATTGAGGAGAAAAGGATCTTTTTCCCAGTGAGACAAAAGATACAGATTTCCCAGCTTATACTCAGCTCTTCTCTAATTCACTGAAAAAAGCCCTGTCTGCCCAAAAATGTTAGGTAAATAGGCAGGTGTTTATGGTTAGCCGAGGCTGATAAAAGTTTTTATATATACTGTTTGGGGTCTTTAGCACTTTCTGAAATAGCCCTAGGATGGGATATTGAGACAGGAGTGCTCCAAAAGGGAGTTGCACCAACCCATGCCAATGAGCAGAAGACTGGGCCAGGAAGTATAAATGCCAAGGGTTACTGTTAGGCCTTTCCTGCTGAAATTGAGCCTCCTCTTCTGTTCCTTCTGGAGACATGACCAGATGCAACCTGTCCAGGGAAGGGGGTAGGAGCAATTTGTACAGCCCTTTGGGGTAAAAGACGTTTCCAGAGTGTAGAGAGCAAAGTGTGGACATAGTATCATCTCTAAGCAAAGAGAACAAAATTTGAGTAAGTATAAAAAATGGGTAACTCTAAAAAATTAACTTATTAAAAACAATTTTCAGATAAATATGCTGACTTACTATAGTATTTAAATTGGCTTTAGCTCTGGGAAGGAAGGTGATAAAGTCGAAGAAATGGTCTCTAGGACCAACTGACCTGGGTTTGAATGCCCGTTCCTGGCAAGTTAGTGAACTTGTTTGGAGTCTCTTTCTGGTAAGATATGGATGGTAGTAATAATACTCATGAGGTCTTGGGATTATTCAATATTGTATGCCAGCCGTAGCCCACAGTGAGTGCTCTGCTCAGTGAGGCTTATTTAGCTCACCTTTTTCTAAATGGCTGGTATCAATAAAGACAGCCATAGCTTGGTTCATGTCTGAATCAGACTGAGCAATTTTCATAATAGGGTATTGTTCTAGAGCAAACATTCCATGCAGTTACCATGTGACCTCTTTGCCATGGCTCCACATTGAAGGAAGATAAGAAAAGCTGTGGAAGATCTTAAAATTTAGATCTTGAATAGGGTAATGTTTGAGATGAGCATTAAAGGAGTGAGTTTAAATGAATTGAAGTCAAGCAGACCATGGTTCAAATCCAAGTTCTGCTATTTACTAGCATTGTGACCTCTAAATATATATTTCCTTTCTTGTAAAATGTCCTGGTTCTGCTTATCATGTCAGTACCAAATGAGGGATCATATGTAATCCACCTGGCATGAGGTCAGCAGCTAGTAAGATGAGTAAAAACAGGGAGGCTGGATGCTGTAGAGGTATATGTGGGAGAAGGCACAAAGCAATCCAGTTTAGCCAGGATATGGGCCATGGATAGCCCTTGAGCCCAACCTGGGGGTCTAGCCTCACAGTGGCTCTCTCTTTTCAGGTGGTCACCATGTCTTTGAAGATCCAGACAAGCAATGTAACCAACAAGAATGACCCAAAGTCCATCAACTCTCGGGTCTTCATTGGAAACCTCAACACAGCTGTGGTGAAGAAGTCAGATGTGGAGACCATATTTTCCAAGTATGGCCGTGTGGCCGGCTGTTCTGTGCACAAAGGCTATGCCTTTGTTCAGTATGCCAATGAGCGCCATGCCCGGGCAGCTGTCCTGGGAGAGAATGGGCGGGTGCTGGCCGGGCAAACCCTGGGTAAGTGTCTCTTCCTGGCCCTACTCCTGGTATTCTCCTGAGCAGGTGCTGGCCTTCACTCTGTGGCTTCTCTCTTAGCCCCTTTTCTGTTTCCCTCACTACTACCTACTACCCCTGTCTGAGATGTTGTAACTTAAATATAGACAGTCCCCAACTTAGGATGATTCGACTTATAGTTTTTCAACTTTACAATGGTGCGAAAGCAATATGCATTCAGTAGGAACTGTACTTAGAATTTTGGTCTTTTCTTGGGGTAACAGTGTGATGGTGTGATACTCTCATGTGATGCTGGGCAGCGGCAGTGAGCCGCAGCTTCCCATCAGCTATGTGATCACAAGAGTAAACAACTAATACATTTACAACCATTCTGCACCCATACAGCCATTCCATTTCTCACTTTCAGTACAGTGTTCAATAAATTACATGAGATATTCAACACCTTATTATAAAGTAGGTGTTGTGTTAGATGATTTTGCCCAACTGTAGGCTAATGTAAGTGCTCTGAGCATGTTTAAGGTAGGCTAACTTAAGCTATGATGTTCAGTACGTTTGATGTATTAAAAGTATTTTTGACTTACACTTACACTGTTTTCAGCTTATGATGAGTTTGTTGACATTTTCAACCTTCAGTAAATATTTTCAACTTTATCGGGTTGATAAAGTCATAAGTCGAAGAAGATCTGTAGTTATAAAATCACTGCCTGTAGGGGAGAATTTTAGAAGCTTCTGGAAAACACTCCTTGTTCTGTCCCTGCTTTCACAGTGACTCTTGACAAGCCTTGTGGTTCCACTTAAATTGCAGTTTCCCCAGAGAAAGAGAACAGAGTGGACTAGCACAGCCCTATTACATTGGGCTACAGATGGCTTAGGTTAGAATCCTTTCTGAGAGCCATGAGGAGGGTCTGGAAGCACAAGGTGAAGCAGGTGCCCTTGCCCTTGGTGTTATATACATGTGTTGTAGCTATGCTGGTACTCTACCTTGGAGCGTGTATAGTGTTCGTGTATGTGCACATATGTCTGCATATATGTGATTATTTGAGAAGGGATATGTATATATGTATTCTTGAATATGTGGTAGGTGGATGTAAGTGAACATGTGGAGGATATGTGGACATACACCTTAGAATGTCTATATATGTAGAATGTGTGTCAGAATATACTCGAATATGTAAGCAAATATGCGTATATTTATTTACCAAATATTTATTGAGATTTTATGCTAAGCGCTGTTCTAGGCATAAAGATATTCAGTAGAATGTTTGCATGAAATGGCAGTGGCTAATTTGTGTATGGGCAGTTTTATATATGATGTTGGAGTCAGGTCTGAGTGTTCTTCAGTATATTATCTGTGGGTGACCATGTGTGTGACAGTGTGTCTCATGTGTGTACTTGAGAATGCATATATGTGTGATGTACGTGGTGTGAGAGTGATATGTTTGTGAGTGAGCATGCGTGTGTCTGAATGTATATGAATATGTAAATAAGCACGTCCATGTGATGTGTGCGTATGAGTCTAACGTGTGAAGACTTCTGCTCTGTTGGCGGTATTAGTGAGTAAGGTCCATGTGTACATCATGTAAACACAAATTGCTGTGCACACGCATGAGGGTGATATGTGTATGGGCACCCTGCTGTCTTGCCAATGTCTGACTCTGCCTCCTCCCTCCACACAGACATCAACATGGCTGGAGAGCCCAAGCCCAACAGGCCCAAGGGGTTGAAGAGAGCGGCATCTGCCATATACAGGTGGGGCACTCTGTCTTGTCTGTCTGGGTGGGATTGGTCTCTCATTTTACAGAGGGAGTGAATACTAGTCGTGACGGTGTGCCCAGCATAAAATCTGGGGAGGCATTTGGAGATGAGGGCCTATGGAGAGTGGGCTGAGTGGCCATCCCTAAGCCCTGGCCCTCTCCCCTTTGTTTCCCCAGTGGCTACAGCTTTGACTATGATTACTACCGGGACGACTTCTACGACAGGTGAGCAGGGGAGGGGCGTGCCCAGGCATGAAAACAGCCAAGCTGGAAGGGTCCTGAGAAATTGCTGGTGCAGCCCACTCAGTCCTCCAAGTGGGAACTGAAGCCGAGGTGTGGAGAGGCATCTACCCAAGGCTGCTTCACAAGTTGGTGGCAGAGCTAGGACTAGGGTCCAGTTCTGCAGGTGCCCAGGCCAGCACTCCTCCCACCCCACACTGTCTCCCACCCCACACTGTCTCCCACTCTCTGACCGCCCTTCCTCCTCGTAATCCTGGGGTATGGGATTTGATGGAACTGGACAGCTGAGGGATATACAAATGTAGCAAGTTTGGAATACTAAACAGGATGCAGGGTTGGGTGCAGGTAGTTTGAGCCGTCATGCTTCTGCTGTTCAGTCTCCGTACCTCTCTGAGGTGCCCAGCCAGCTGGAAGGAACCTCAGAGCTCAGGCTGAGCCTCTTGGCCTTATATTTGTAGCCAAGAGGCCAGCAGCCCTTTGGAGGTCTGAATTAGTTCCTGGTAGCCTATGTGGCCCACCCTCCACCCCCAAGCTTACCCACACCTACCCTTGAAGCTGTGGGCTGCACTCCATGATACCAGTTACATTCTTGAGTGGAAATCATGGTGGGTTCTGGCCCAAACTTATCTTCCTCCCCCACTCCTGCTTGGCTTGCCCCAGGCTGTCCAGGAAGAATAGAACATCTCTGAGCCTCGGTTTTCTCACCTGTGAATGGTTTCAGGCGATAGTGCAGCGTAGTATAAAGTGCCTTAGCCTGGGAGACAGAAGACCTGGGTGCTAATCTGAGCTCTGCCACTGAATGGATTGTGTGACTTTGGGCAAATTCCCTCCCTGTGTATGAAATGGGCATGCACCAAGTGATCCCTCAGGGTTCCTCCAGCTCGGGGATTCTGTGGTTCAGTGATTCTGACCAAGGCCAGAGCCGCCCCCTCCCCTTGGGGGCAGAAATTCAGGGTCTGGAAGTGGGTCCATTACCAGAGACTCTCTGTCTCCAGCCATCACCACCCCAGGGCAGGGGCTCCCTGAACAAAGGAGTGCCAAGGCTTGGGGCATTGAATTGCTCAGTGATGGTAGGTTTCCTGGCTGTCATCAGGAAAGTGATCCCACAGTGTACCCCCAGGCTGCTGTTCCCTGCAGAAAGGTAGTAGCAGTAGATGTGGTGAGCCCTACTGAGCCCACGGAGCTGCTGCCTGATCAGCAGGAAAAGAAGCCCCCTCTGGAGGGGGCTGGGTGATAGTGTTGAGGGGGCAGCATACAGTCTGGGAGCCCAGGGGTCTGCTCGAGTTGCCTAACCTTGATAGTTGGGGGGCCTCTTGCCTTTCATCTCTAAAGAAAGTAAGAAGGATGGAGTGATTAAGGGGGCCCAGAATGAGGAAAGGGTCTTGGATTCCAGCCTCGTGCCTCTGATGTCTTAGGCCCCTGAGCTGAGTGTCTCAGTACCCTGACCTTTCACCTATCACACCTAACCAAGTTTTTTTAACCAAGTTCTCTCATGGTCTACCCTCATAGTGACCTTGAGGTGGAGCACAGAATTTGGGGTAGCCATCCTCATTAGGCAGATGGGAAAACTGAGGCTCAGGCAGGCTTAGGGATTTACCCCTACACCCAAAGCTCTCTTTTCTCAGTTGGGGGTTTGTGTGGCTTTAGAGAGATTGCAAGCTCTTTCCAGAGATTGGGGTGGCAGTTGGACTGAGCAGAAGCCAGGTCCAGTAATAGAGCAGGCCTAGGTGTCTGGGTGATCTAGGGAAGGCTCCTTTCTGGGGCTGGTCTCAGTTTACTCCTCTGTTGAATGGGACTGTAACCATTATCACAAGCCAAATCCTCTCTCCTTACTTGGCCTGGCTGGTAGGAAAGATGGATGTAGTGAGGATCCTAGCAGCTATTAGGGTCAGGAAAGGCCTTCCTATTTACCCCCTAGGGCTTGTTGGGAGCCGGCAGAGATGCGTAGTGCAGGCTGCCCAGCCGTTAATCAACTAGACATGTATTGGTCTAGAGTCACAGTGCCACCTGGTGGCCACAGGCCATGCTGCAGCCTCTGGCCCATTTGCCCTCACAGGCTCTTCGACTATCGGGGCCGCCTTTCACCTGTGCCAGTGCCCCGGGCAGTCCCCGTGAAGCGACCCCGGGTCACAGTCCCCTTGGTCCGACGTGTCAAAACCACCATTCCTGTCAAGCTTTTTGCCCGCTCCACAGCCATCACCACCAGCTCAGCCAAGATCAAGTGTGAGTGACTGTATCTTCTTCCTAGATAATTTTTATTTTTGTAATTAGCAAAATAATAGAATCACATTTTTTTACATTGGAAAATAGATAAAGGAACAAATCTCCCACAGTTCTGCAGCTCCTAACACAACCGAGTGAGTATTTTCATGCATTTCTAAGAGGAAAAGGCTGACGTTAGAAGAAGGAGGGGCTTTGGTTGGGCACAGAGTCCAGTACTATGATGTGGAGCCCAATGAGGAGATGGTGTCATCTTTCTTCTAATAAGGACAAGGACAGGTCTACACAGGCCTGCTACTCCATGTTCACTCGAGTGCACGTGCTGCAATCAGGCACCTGATTTATAATCAGGAAATCTGATTATAAAACAGCCACATTTACACACCTTGAAAGACACCACCCTATAACACAAGCAAAGACACATATGCTTGCTCAGGTGCACACCACACACCTGTATTCTTATTCATCCCCAGTCCCTTTCAGAGTTGAGAAGTCGGGGAAAAGATACAGGTTCAGAAGAGTGGGCTGGTCACTGTAGGAATGGCTTCCAGAAAGTCTCAGGGGGAAGCCACAGGCAGCTCTAGCCTTTTCCCTGTCCAGAAAAAGAACTGTGGACAAGGACAGTTCCGACCACTGGCCTGCCTTCCTAGTTGACAGCATGGGGCTAGGGTCTTGTGTTAGTGTCAAGCTCCCAGTCTCCATGTGACAACCCTGTACTCCCTTCACTCCCAGTAAAGAGCAGTGAGCTGCAGGCCATCAAGACAGAACTGGCACAGATCAAGTCCAACATTGATGCCCATGCTGGGCCGCTTGGAGCAGATTGCTGAAGAGCAGAAGGCCAACCCAGGTCAGCTTCCCAGGGGCACAGGGTTGAGTGTGGGGAGGACAGTGCCCTGGGCAGAGAGGGAGCTGTGACCTCCAATCCCACCTGCACCGCGCTGAGGCCTAGTTTCTGCTAAGGTACTGGCCTCGACACCTACCCCAGGCTGAGTTTTATTCCCCTGTTTCCCACCCTTTCACCCTCAAGATGGCAAGAAGAAGGGTGAAAGTGGTAGTGGCAGTGGCAGCGGCAGCGGCAGCGGCAGCGGCAGTAGTGGTGGCAACAGTCGGCCACCAGCCCCCCAAGAGGACACAGCTTCTGTCGCAGGCACACCCCAGGGAGAAGCACAGGCTCGAGACGACGGTGATGAGGAGGGGCTGCTGACACACAGCGAGGAAGAGCTGGTGAGGGCATGGCTGGGAGGGGCAAGGACCAGACTTGGCACTCCTAGTTACAGGAGGGCATCAGAAGAAGGGGGAACCTCTGAGCTGGTTGGCCCCACTGTGAGCTCCCTCCTTCCTCCTTCCAAGGGGTTCTAGTCCTGTGAGGAAGAGGGAGAATGACCAGGGAGTAGTTGTCTCTTTCAGCCGCCAGTCAGAAGTCCCACTGAGGACTGGGACAAACTTCTCTCAAGCCTAGGGTCCATTCTAAACTCTTCCATGTGAGTTGGAGAAGGGAAGAGTCAGGGGCTCAAGGGAGCACACATGGTCTGCAGAGTTCCAGCGAGCAGGACTGGGATTACTTGGGGAAGCCACAGGGAGGTGGGTATCTACTCCACCTGAAGATTTTCTAAAAGCCGTTGTTGCCTGAGCATGATACAGGCGCTCTCATGAGGGGGCGAGCTCCCAGTCTGTTATTGGAATTCTTCAGAGTAAGGCTGGGAAGCCATTTGTCAAGGAGCTTATGTTAAATAGGAAGGTAGACCAGATTCTGAGTGTCTATTTGTTGTGTGCTTACTACTCATTTACCTAACAAACACTCACTGAACACAAGACCCTGTAGTCCACCCTTTATAACTTCATTTAACTTTAGCTTCAGCCCTGCACTGTGCAAAGTATTAGTTTTCCCACATTTACCCCATGAAGAAACTGAGGCTCAGAGGAGTTGAGTAGCTTGCTCAGGGCCTTATAGCTAATAAAGGCCAAGCCAGGATTGGAGCTTGGACTTCTTCTCTGGGTCTGGAACTTTCTCCTTTTCATCACTGCTGAGTTCTGGTGCAAGGATGAATGGGCTCATGGCCACAACAATTAAGAAGTTCGCCTCCTCATGCCCAGCTTATCTCTCCTTCTTTGAACCTAGCTTGATACTTCACCTTACTCTTTCAGGCATAGTAGTCTTTGTAAAGGCCCTAATGAAAGCTTAGATGCCCCAGAAATGGGGAGCCCACCAGTCTACCAGGCTTTTAGCTTGCTCCAGTCACAGAAGGTCTTTCTATGCAGAAGTGTACCCTTGCCATGTCTGGAACTTCCTTGACTGATCTTTTCTATCTCCTAAGGGGCCTTCACACAACTGTGTTGGGATCCCAAACCTGCCTTGTTTAGACTGGTCCCATAGTCATTCCCCTCGGCTGTCTCTCCCCCTTTCTGAGTGTGGTCTCCAGATGTGCTCTAGGCCCCAGGGCAGGACTCAGAGCTTGCAGTCAGTGATGTGTGGTCTCTTGTTGCCTCCTCTCTATCAGGAGCACAGCCAGGATACAGATGCGGAGGATGGGGCCTTGCAGTAAGCAGGTATGGGGGGTCCTGGTGGGCAAGGGGTGAAGTAAAGTGGAGGGCATGTAATGAAGCAGACCTGGCAGGGTATCGCTGTGCCCAGCAATGAAGGCTGCTTCATCCTCATCCTGCCACACCCCTTTGTGGTTGGGGTTTGGTGGGCTTTGGGAACAGGAGTCATGAATGGGCTAGCTGGGCCCATCCAGCAGGAGTTTCCTTGGCAAACTCTGAGCCATGTTGCCTGTCTTTACCCTTGAGGAGCTCCGAGTCTGGTAGAGGAAGACACAGACCATTCCCTCCCAGTGTGAGCGGGATGATAGGGGCTACAGAGCCAAAGGTCAAAGAGGGGTGTGATAGAAGAGGTGAGGTGTAGCTGAGCCTATTCAGGATTGAGGGAGAAGCATCTGAGGGAACAGCCTTAGCTGAGGCCCAGAGTTCTAGCAGTCCTTGACGTGTGGGAAATGGCCAGGTTCCTCCTGTGGCTGCAGTCCCAGCTCTGCATAGTAGGGAGAGAGAGCTGTTCATCATCAGAGGGTGATGACTGTGCCAGGCTTAGGGACTGGGATGTGATTCTCTTGGGAGGAAATGCCCTGTATGCCAGAAGCTGCCCCAACCTGATTTGAACTCAGTCTTGTGTGGCCTCAAAGCCCAGTCTCTGGCCATTGTGTTCACCACCCTGCTCTGTCCCACCCTAGAGGGAAGCCAGGCCACACCAGCTCTGCCAACTCTGCCCCATTCCTTTGGGGGCCATGTTCAGAGTAAGGCTGGCTTGGGTGGAGGAAGGCCTCCACCCAACAGAGGTGTCTTTACACATGACACATTCATGCTCTGAGATACTCCAGCAAGGCTTCCCAGACGGTTAAGTTTAGGAAATTCTATATGTGAAGTCTTTCCTCTTGGAGCTTCGTGGTTTGTTTTACCAGGGAGGCTAAATTTTACCTTGTTAAGTCTGTTCACAGGTAGAGTGTGGGGCTCACGTGAGGAAATGGAGGCTCAGGGGACCGAGACTTGCCCAAGATTGCATGGCCAGAAAATTATGAGGCCAGAGCCAGAGTGCAGGCATATATATCTGTCTGCAAACAGCAAACACCATTCCACCCGTCCTTCTTCCCAATCCCTTAGTCTCTTCTTTGTCTCTCTCTTTCTCAGCCTGACAGGAGCGATGGCCACCGGCAGGAGAAGGGCATGCACTGTACCAGGCCTCAAGCTGGGCACCCACGCCTGGATTCCACCCCCAGCGGGTCCCAGAGGAGAGCTGGCAGCAGGCACCTCCTCCCCCACACATCCCAGCCAGTGCCACAGCCTCTGCAGGTGGAGTTCTGGCCTTGTCTCCTCACGTACTCTCCCTGTCAGGACTGCCCAGGCCAGAGGGCAGAGCACAGAGGTTTCTCCACACTCTGCTTCCCCTCCCCAGGACACTCCCAGGCTTGGGTTTTTTCTATAGGTTTGGAGAGGGGGAGCCACAGGGAGGGGACTCTGACAATAAAGAGATTGGATCCCAACTTGCTCTGAGATGGGATGGTTTGTGTTTTCTGAAGAAGGTACCCTGGCTTTCTTGTCCAACCAGAGATCAGGTCTGCTGTACCCGCTTCTGTTCGCTCCTTCATTCCTCCCTTCCAGGGAGTGTTGTCTAGGGTGCCTAATACTGATCCGTCTGCGCCTTGGTTTCCACAAATAACGTAGAGATAAAAATGGCCAGTAGGGTTATTGGGGAGGGTCAGATGTGCCAGTGCCTATGAGAACACCTTGGTGGTTGAAGTGCCAAGCAGTTGTGACCCACTTGTCAGGCAGTAGTAGGTCTAGGTGTCAGCTTCTCTAAGTCTGATCTTTCCCGGTTCTAAAATGATTCTACAACCTGCCGCTTCCTCCCCTTCTCTGTCCTGGTTTAGGGCACTGTGTTTTTTCACTCAGGCTTCATCCACTCACCAGCTTCCCAACCTCCAGCTTCTCTTTGCCCTATTTCCCACAGGCCAGTGGCCACCACAGTGTTATTTCTGAATCCTGTCCCTTCCCTGACTAACTTTTCACCATCAGGACAGAATGCCAGCTCCTAAATGTGGGGTACATGATCCTACTTGCCCTGGCCTCTCCTGTCTTTTGCCCCCACCTCTCTTTCCTGACCCCTACACAAACCTTACACCACAGCCACACAAAACAAGCCCTTTGCTCTTATAGGCAGCAAGAATTAGAGCCTGTCTCCAGTCACTTCAAGCAATAGGAAGTTGGTATCAGGATATATGTGGGCTGTCTGCAGATATCCTGGGCCACCTGTCTAGACATTTGCTCTGTTCTCTAGCACCTGGCTAGGTTCCTTCAACGTCCACTTCTGTCTTAACTTCACCCCTTCCCCTTTATTCCTCACCACAAATTGATCAATTTCCCCAATTGTAAGTCCCCAAGAGAGAATCAACTTCCACAGCAAATCTTTTTTAATCACTCATAGGTTATAAGTACCCTCCCTGGTCCAGTGAACTGGATGATACAAGTGTGGCCACTTAGCCTAGTCTCATTGGTATGGTGCCGTGGGTGGGCAAGCACCCAGAAACATGCTGTTACAAGCCTGGCATGTACTCTTCTTGCTCCTACTTTCTCCACCTGGGAAGTATCCACTCATCATTAAGCCACTGTTCTAGTGTCACCACCTCTGAGAAGTCTCCCCGACCGGCCCTATTGCTCTTCGAGAATTGTTTATTCTCTCCTCTGGACAGCATTCTCCAACACAGGGAATGAAATCCCATCATCAGAAAGGGGTTTGGGCTCTTCCTTCCATCTTGACATGTTCTTCAGGCCTGCTAGAATCCTTATTGAAAATCCCCAATTTCAAACCAACGCGTCTACAACATAGCCTCCACCAAACCTCCGCCTGGGCTTTGGCTCCAGGTTTTGGTAGAGGATGGAGCCTGGGCTTGGGACAGTGCTCAGTGCTCAGTCTCCCTAGGGAAGTCTTTGTTGTCTCATGTCTCCCTCTCTGGGCAGCCCTCCTGCCTGCCATTGGCAGGCCAGCAGTCTGAAGCCCAAGTGTGGCTCTGTGTTCCCAAGCTATGCATGAGCCTGACTAGCCAGCCCCAAGGCAGTCAGAGTTCTGGACCCACAGCTGAGCCAAATACTCCCATCCTTGCTTGGCCATTACCTGTTGGTGTGATTTGGAGCAATATTTCTGCCCCTTCGGAGCTTTAGCTGCCTAGTGAGATCACAGTCCCCATATGTCTGCCTGCCAGGGACCCTAGGCAGCAAGGGGAGAAAGAGTAGAGTCTGAGGCTTTCAGTCTGAGAGATCCAGACCTGGGGTGAAAAATAGCCCTTGGAACTGGGCTGGGACCTGGCCCAACTTGGTCAAAACGAAAGGCTTCAGTCTGGATAGGCTAAGAAGGTGTCCAGAGGAAGGGGCTAGGTCCACAGGGAGTGTCTCATCCCTCCTTAAGAGCCCTTGGTGGAACATACCCCTCCAGTTCCTGAACCTCTAATCTTCCTTGCTGCCGAGCAGGTCAGAGCCCAGCTCTAGCAGACCCACTTGTATACCTGGTCAGGTCTTCGTGTCCCCACCTATTCAAGGACTTGGGCAAAGTCCAAAGAAGGGGTTTTGGAGCCTGATGAACTTCACACTGAGAGCTGGCACTGTGTTCTTGTGTCCCCAGAGCCTAGTGCTCTGTGCACGTTGCACTGTAATAACATTCCCAGACTCTACAAGGCCCCACTCAGTAGTGCTTGACTGAGGCACTCACTTTTCAGAGCTTAGGGGACAGGTAGAACAGTGGGGGCCGTGGGCTTCCTTAGTATGCTAAGCATAGAGGGTCATGAGAAGAACAGGGAAGACCCCTTCCAGGACAGGAAGCATCTGCCCTACCCAGAGACCCTGCTTAATCACCCTGGTGCCAGGACATATCCTGGACAGAGTGAGAATGGAATCCCCCTCCAGCACCCCAGAAAAGCTGCTGAACTACTAAAGCCCCTGGGAAAGCTCACAGTTGGCTCCTGAGCCTTGGGAGGTTCACATCCACAAAATCCTGTGTCCACATGCCCACCCTCTCTGTCTTGGGTCAGGAAAGATTTTCCATTCCATTGCTCAATAGTTATAATTTTTGTGTCCAACCTCTGAAAACCAAAAGGAGATGGTGAAGAAATGTGATACCAGATTCTGCTCAAAGGACCAATATTCTCTAGATGTTTTCAAGATGTGAAGCCTTGTTTGTCGTCCTAGCAGCCAGCTTGAAGGAATATCCCAGCCAGTGCGTTTACTGGGTTGTGTGCTGCCAATAAGGTTTGTGACCCTGGACAAGTCTTTCCTTATCTGTATGAGGGGTTGGCCAAATCAGGGATAGTAAATGGGCCTTATATCAGTTCTTAACTGCTAACAAACCACCCTGAAATTTAATACCCTTAATAAACCTTTGTTAGCTTCCTATTCTTTGGCTTGGCAATTTGGGCTGTGCTCATCCAGGTGGTTCTTCTACTTAGCTGGACTCTCACATGGCTGAAGTGAGCTGGCAGATTGGCTGGGGGCTGCTTGGTTCCAGGTAACCTCACCCACTTGTCAAGTGGTTGACTGGGCAACAGGGGCAACTAGCCCACGTGTTTCCAGCATCTAGCAGGCAATACAGGCTAAGCCCCTATACGCAAGTGTTCTTCAAGCTCCTGCTTGTGTCATATTTATAAGGTCCCAGTGGCTAAAGCAAGTCGCATAGCCAAGCCCCAATTCCTCTTAATTTGAGGAGCTTCAAAATAAGGCCATAATTTGTTTTTAGTCTATCTCAGGCCTCATTTCACTTGCCATTTCAGAACATTTAGTAGCAGCTGCTGGAGTGCTTTTTGAGGATTTGGAGCAGTCTTTAGTATTAGGAAATAGTAACATGATAATTTGGACATGTTTTTTATGGGCAAGGAATTGAAATGTGGTTGTGTGAGTGTAGGTATTAGCCAACCCTGGCCAGGTTATATTCTTTCCCATAAGGACATCATATACTATTCACGGGGCCATCTGACAAGACCACAGAAATACAGATGTAGAGCAGGGTGAAAGATTCTGAGCCAGGCATCCTGGGTTTGAATCCCAATTGGGCCGTTGATTAACTTTGGACAAATTAACCCCCCCCCCCCCCCCCGCCCGCCATGGACACATTCTTCATAATGGAGTTATCCCATAATAACAATAAACCGCTTCCTGGTGTAGTGTGAACTTTTGGTTACAAGTAATAAAAACTGAACTCAAATGTGCTTAAGCAGGAGAAAGTTTACTGTTTCACAAATTGAAAAGTCCGGGGGTAGATATTCAGACCCAGGGCTTCAAGAACTGCCATCAGAAATTTCTCTATTCCTCAGCTTTGCTTGCTCTGTTGATGTCGTTCTCAGGCAGGTTCTAAGTGGTGGCAGAGGGTGGGCCACAGGGCCTGTGAGAGCAGAGGAGGAGAAGGGAGAATCCCCAAAAGGAAAATTTGAGTTCTAGTGCTGGAAGAAAGGAGGCTTGGGTTGCCAAAAGCTTCAGGTTTTCATTATGTGGTTGTGCCCATTTTATAGATTTTGTAGATGCTTCTAAAAAGGACATGGCCCCATTGGCAGATGGAGTCTATATCCTCTCCCCTTTATCTAGACTCTGTGGCTTTTTGATCAATAGAATACAGTGATGATGGTGATGCTATCTATACCAGTCTCCCAGTCCTGCTCTTAAGAACTAGCAGTTTCCACTTGTATCTCGTGACCCAGCCACTCACTATGCCCAGGCCACATGGAGGGGCCATGTGTACATGTTCCAGCTGACAGCCATATCAGCTGTCAGACTTGAGTGAGGAGGCCTTCGAGTTGCCTCCAGCTAAGCCACTAGTCTGATTGAGAACTTAGTAAGAACTGCCTAACTGACCCCAGTCAAAGCTCAGCACCATGAGGGATAATAAATGATTGTTGTTGTTTAAGCCACTTAAGTTTGGAGTGAGTTGTTCTATATCAGTAGATAACCAGAACACTAACAGACTCAAAGAGGTTAAGTAGCTTGCTCTACTTTAAGGGGACTGGGTTAAGAGTATAGACTTTGTGTTGAACTGAGTTCCTTTCCACACTATTTGTTGTTAAGCAAGTCACTTAATCTCTCTGAGCCTCATCTTCCTCATCTGAAAAAGAAAGGAGCACATCCTTATTATGACAATATTTAATAAATGAGAGCACTTACTATTACCTAATCCAGATTCAGGTGATTTTTCTCTTAAAAAATAAAAGAGCATAATTTTCTTTACTCTTTTTGTTTTCTACTTATTTTTATACTCGCCTTGTTCCAAAATGTATTTCAGGCAGCTTACAAAGAAAACGTGAATAGAATATTGTAAAAATGAGTCAGAGGAAGATAATAGCAAGAAGAGCTCTTTTTGGTGTTCCAATGTCTGTGAGTTATTGCAGCTAAGAGTAGTGTGTTGGTCTGGTCACTAGGCCCATGGGGCAAGCCCTGCTGGCCCTCCTGCTTGTACCAATGAATGGACACCTCCCTCCTCTGACTGGTGAGTGGGCCCCTGGTGCACAAATACCCCTCCC